CAGAGACAGACACACCGGTAGACAGAAAGACACACACAGGTAGACAGAGACACACAGGTAGACAGAAAGACAGATACACAGGTAGACAGACAGACACACAGAGATACACAGATATACAGGCAGACAGATACAGACAGGTTTATGTGCAACAGTGAAAAATAGAGAGTTCGAGAGTAAGAGCCTTTCTTGCCACAATCTCCAGTGCAAGATTCAGACTTCATCTTAGGGGCCATGGTGAAATTTACTGTCCAGTTAGTACAGTTAATACAGTATGATGCTGCTGATAGGGCAGGGTAACTCAAACTGATGCTGCCTGCATGACTCATTGCCGCCGCGAGTATTGTCAAATATTGTACAGTGATGTGCATCAGCCGGCCTAGCCCAGCTGCCAGATGCGCGGTCGTAAGTTGAGTGGACGTATGTCAAGCAGGTCGTAAGTTGGATGGTAGGTGTACCACATTAAATGTCTATTTACCAGATGTTCCATCACTTTGCAAACTGCACTGGTAAGAGCTATGGGACGATAGTGGGAGGCTTCATGTCCGTAGTACCCGGTTTGCGAAAAGGGAGAACAATGGCAGATTTCCACAGCTGTGGAAGAACTCCTTGTGACCAAATAAGATTGAAAAGGCATAAGAGGACTGCAAGGGCTGACTGATGTAAATGTTGTAACATACAAATATGAATGTTGTTGGGCCCAGCTGTCGATGATCGGAAAGCTGAGTGTGTTGCCTCCAGTTCCTGAAGTGTAAAAGGCACATTATACTGTTCTTCTCTGAGAGAAGAAAAGTCCAAGGGTGCTAACTCTCTGGCAGACTTTGAGGAAAGAAACGAGGGGCAGAGATGGAGCCCCAGAGAAATACGAACCAGATGATTGCCAGTTTCAATGGCAACATCTAGAGGGTTTGCTATATCAACACCAGCAACCCGCAGAACAGGAGCCAGGTCAGGAGAATATTTACCACTCAGTTTCCATACTTTTTTCCAGACTGCACTCATAGAGCAAGCAGAGGTGATGGTGGAGACATAATCTCGCCAGCAAGTGCGTTTAGCGTCATGGATGACACGGCGAGCGATCGCACGCTTCTGCTTAAAATCAAGAAGTCTCTCAGTGGTTCTATTAAACCGGTACCTGCCCCATGCAGCATGTTTCAAACATACTGCATGAGCACAAGCAGGAGACCACCAAGGCATGCATTTCTGAGAATGCCTGCCCGAGGTTTGGGGTATAGAATGAGAACTGCGGTTAAAACTGAGGACGAGAAGCGGTGTAAAAGCTCATCAATGGAGGACGAAGAAGGAACCTCACTACAGTTAGTTGTGAGTAAAGGTCCCAATTTGCCTGATCAAATTGCCAGCGTGGGTTACGAAGAGGTGGTGAATATGAAGGGGAAGTAAAAATGATTGGAAAATGATCGCTGTCATGTAAATCCGGGAGATCAGACCAGGTGAAGTCAAGTGCAGTGGAGGAAGAGCAAACTGAGAGATCGATGCAAGAGAGAGTATGAGTACGAGGATCAAAATGGGTGTGAGTATCTGTATTTATAACATGGAGGGTGTGGGAAGCAAGAAAAGCCTCTAGCTGAATACCACAGGAATCACAGTGAGACCCCCCCAGAGAAAATGATGGGCATTAAAATCGCTAAGGAACAGAAGTGGTGGCGGTAATGACGAAACAAGAAAGGCAATATCCGGAATAGATAATGCTCGAGAAGGAGAGAGGTACAAAGAACAGTGTGTATACCACCTATGCAGGTGGATGCGGGCTGCTGTGTAATGCAGCAACGTACGAACAAATAGCTGATGGTACGGAATATCAGTGTGTAAAAGAAGGGCATTTTCATTAAAGGTCCCATCAGGAAAAGGATCCGAAGAATACAATAAATTATAGCCTGAGATGGGAGAGATAACAGCAGAGTGTAATTTTGGTTCTTGTAAGCAAACACCAACAGGGAAAAATTGGGAGAGCAACATCTGAAGCTCACCCCGATTACCCCTGAGGCCGCGTATATTCCACTGTAAATAGGCCATGATTGGCAACGATAAAGATATGTACTAGAAATCCGCAGGTAAGGGTACTTACGGACTAGAGGGGTTAGAAAAGTCCACATGCAATGGCAGCGGAAAACGTTCAAGCAGCGAAGGAACGGTGCGCTGTGAAGAAAGGAGTTGTGCGGATCGGGAAGAGGAAAGAGAAGGAACATAGGGTGGATCAGTGTCCATTGATGGTTTGGTCTCTGCAATATATTCAGAGATTGCTTCAAGTGTTTCGGAGTTCAGAGACGTCGTATGGGAGACAATATTGGAGATGGATGGAGCAGGAGTTTGAGTAAAGTTCGGAACTGTAATGGGCTGTATCAAGGTGGGGGGGGGTGAAAGGGTGGAAGGAACTGGAGAAGTGTGGGAGGGGACAGAAGAGGAAGGCACAGTACAAGGAGGAGGATGAACCTCCACACTTGTAACCGAGCCAGTGAAAGGGGAAGACCCAGGTACAGAGACCGGGAAGGTAAAGTGTGGAGGTGGATGAAGGGAAGGAGGGGTTAAAGGAGATTTTTTGGACTTCTGAGAAGTAGAGGGATGAATGGGAGGAGGTGTCGTACGAGGTCTTGTCAATACCGGGGTTTGTGAGGGGAGAACACGAAGAAGTGAGAACAGACTGAGGTGTTGAAGTAGGGACGTCTGAGCCCAGGAGAGCAAAAGAAATAGATACAGGAGTGACTATGGGACTGGCAACCACAGAGGAGGCTGCAGAAGATGGGACCCCAGAAGTAGGGGGACGTTTTGAAACACGAGAATAAGAAACACGGGGTAGTCTCGCTTGGAGGCGGAGATGAGAAACCGCCATAGCATAAGGGAGACCTTCTGCCTCTTTGAGGCAACAAATTTCCCGCTCATTCAAGTAGACCTGGCAACAGCGAGAGTATGAAGGGTGAGCCTCATGACAATTAAGGCAAGAGGGAGGTCGACTGCAAGACGTATTAGAATGGTCATTGGCACCACAGACTGGGCATTCGGCTACAGATCTGCAATATTTTGCTGGGTGGCCAAATCGCCAGCAATTTCTACACTGTTGCGGTGTAGGGATCAACTTTCAAACTTGTAACCGATGTCCTGTTACATAAACAGAGGATGGGAGTTCACGGCTGTCAAAAGTTAAACAAGCCACATTGCAAGGGTATCGTCTCCGCCCGCGGGCAGGAAGAACATAAGTGTCTACCTTGAGAATTGGGAGATCTTGGAGTTCCAGCTGTTCGAGAATGCCATTGCCACATGTCTGGAAATTCTGTTGGACTATGGTATGGGGCAGAATGACAGTACCACTACAAGAATTGAGGGAATGATGTTTTTCGATAGTGATAGGAATAGTATCGATATGTGAAAGAAGAGAAAGATCATGAGCTTGGGTAGCAATCTGGACTGTGATGATATGCGTACCACTCTTAAGAGCATGAAAGGAAATATCTCTACCAACATGGCATAGGAGCGCTTTGCCAATACTATGGTCGGAAAGATAGGCAGTAGAAGTCGGTCTTAAAGTAAAGAATTTAGTCCATTGTGTGGTCCGAAACTGAGTGTGGAGAAGGAGTGCATGACGTGTCGGTCTTTTCCGGGTAGAATGGGAAGGTAACAAAATAACGTCATCAGGAGATTGTCGTTGGCGTTTAGAAGTGGGACCAGAGTTAGTCCAACGTGGGACGGGCTGGCGATTCGAAAATTGCCGCACCGTAGAGGGAGAGGCCTGAAGCATAGCCAAAGGAGAGCGGAGGTCAGACAAATCGAAGAAGTCATTCGGAACCCCAGCACCTGAAGCGGGTGATGAAACAGCACCAGCAAGAGGTACAGGGGTCTTAGGAGTGTCCGAAGAGTGGCCAAAAGACGAGGCGAGGTCAGAACGGGGTGCGGTAACAATAAGGGGCCTGGGGGTAGCAGGGTCATGGATTGGGGACTCTATGGTTAGGTTACTTCTTTCTTTTTGTTTTTAAGAAAAAAAAAGAAAGAAGAAAAGAAAATAAAAATAAAAGAAAGAATAAAAAAAGGGGGGACCAGGGAGGGATAGTTCCTAGGAGGAATGAAAGGGCCAGAAATCTCCCTCCGTGCCCAAAAGGGCCTCAGCACCACAAGTAGCGCAGATGCAGCATGGAACCCGTGCCATACCCTACCCTTCATGCCAGTAAACCAGCAATCCGGGATAGCAACCTCACATATGCCGAGCTACCTCGGTGGACAAAAGAGAGGGCAGCCGGATATCCGCCACAAAGCATACCTCCTTCGGCCACCACCCCCGGAATCTGAAAGGTGGCTTCCAGAGATACACCCGTTGCCCGAAAGACACCCAAAGCCACCCTCCGGGATACCGGAGAGGGATCGGGACATCCCCAGGCGATCCAGATTCCATGGCAAACTACGCCAAGAACCTCAACGGAATGGGATGAACCCCGGTACCCTTTCCCCTACCTAGGAACTAGCGCGCCTGTAGGAAAAATCCCGAAGGCCAAAAAAGGAAGGAAGGAGGAGGAGGAAAGGGAAGGGGGGATTGGGGGGTAATTAGGTTCAGTCTGAGGAAGGAGACCGACAGGTCTAATTCCTCAGACCAAGAGCCTCTTCACCACGCCAAGGAGCCCCCCTTGAAGAGGAATCAGTGGCAAAATCTTTTACATATAGACACACTTAAACTTTCAAGGGTATTATTGAAGCTCTACCATTAATAGCTAATTTAGAGCGGTTATGTAACTGGACACTAAAGCATTGATCTGTCATGAAGATATTTAGAAAAAGGTGGGAGTTGGCCATGCAGACCAGTAAAACTGTCCACTCTGAATTTTTTTTAAAACTAACAACGCTATTGGAAGGTCTGAAAGATACCGGGAGGAGTCTGAAAAATAATCATTACAGATCTACTTGTATTTTAAAAGAGCTGTAATATAACTTTGCCTGATATTAAAAATTTAGTTGGCATTCATCCACTAGTAATGGTAAATAACTTCATCTTTTCCAAACAGATATCAACAAGAAATTTGGACCACCTCAGAAGTGTGATGACTGTGTATTATTCATTCAACTTGGAGCAACATTTGCATTTTTCACATTAAGCTTTGTCGTTGCCTTCTGTGTACACAGCCGTAATCACAAACCTCGTCGCTGGATAGAGCATCACCTGTCAGATCTGTATCTTCCTTCTGGTGTTGACAAATCTCTGTGAAACCTATTCATTGGCAAGTAATTGATAAATTTACTATGTACAACTATTCTTATTTTGTTATATGTAACTATGGGGATGTGATTATTATTCAAAACAAAGCACTAAACCCACCAAGGTTATACAGTGCTGTATGGGGGATGTGACATTAGCCTTCATTATTATTTCATACAGGATGAGTGCAGTACTGTATTATTACTATAAAGTTCCTTTTGCTTACTGATGCTTTCATTACTCTAAAATTCACGGACTTGTCAGCCACATTAACTCCATCAGATCCAGTCATGGTTAGAGAATTATTAATCACCAATTATACAACTTAAGTAGGCGCCTTATAAGAGTAATTCTTGCACTTTACTCTTGTATAAATCCTAGCCACACATGTGCTAGCTAATTATCATCCACCACACGATCGATTAAACTTGTGTACCCTATACCCACTTCCTTCAATCAGTCACTTAATTATTAAGTAATTAATTCAATTTTTTCACTGATTGCATCCGGTTCAGGAAGGACCAGCGGGCAGATATGGAAAATTTTCTAGGGTGATTACTTGTACATACCTCAACATTACATGCATACGAGTAATCTCCTTGGGAGACAACAACTATATTGTTTACCGTAGTCACCCGTGTAGATATGTGAGAAAACTTAACCACCTCTGGTCACTGCAGGTGGCCCCTCGACCCTCACTATCTTATCCATATCTATCCGAGACCAGTATAAATTGGGTAGCACCCTCAAGTACGGCGCTACTAATTAATTGTGGACTGTATAGATTATATTAGTTTAACTGAATGAAGGGGGGGGGGTAGGTTACACATGGATATATCCATCAAGGAAAACACTTGTACATAATCTCACCACTTACCAGATATTCTCTGGTGGTCACTTGATGTAGCTGGATCACTCATAACCTATCCAATTACAACATACCTAACTGGCCAGTATCAGTCTGCTATAACTAGAAGGGTTACTTAACTGTGGGTGATTGATACTCCTTATTTCCTCCATTCACCATCTCATTTACAGCAGTGCCGTCAATCACGTTCCCTCACTCTCCACCAGGGACAGTCACGACACTTCCTATTATGAAATGAGGCCTATATTAATCCTTAGGCTGCCGTGAATGCCAATTTCCTGGTTCCATGATTTCCCAGCCTCCTCACTACATTCAAAACACTCCCGCCTCTTCCATGCCCCGAGTCGACCTCTACCCCCACACATCCGCGCATGTGCAAAGGGAACTCTTGGTTCTGTCCTATTGTCAAATACATTTTTGACTCATATTGACACATTAAACACCTATTAGGCGCTATAGCTTCGGAAAATTAAAAAAAATTCCACAATAGTGTTACCATCCACAAGTGTGTTTATCTTTAGCCATCATATCTCCTTTCGAACCCCCACGACGAATTGGTGACAGCGGTGTGGGCGTAAAATTGATAATTGCGCTGATGCACGGAGATAAATTCCCTCAGTGGATGACAGTGTGTGGCCAGTAGGCTGACCTACCTCAAGCCAGCTACCTCAAGCATCTACCAGCCTTTACACTATTCACTGGTCAGTCTCTGTGTATTAGTGTTTATCTGCTTATTTGCATCACTCCCGAGGGGTTCACCCAAGTTTGCAAAGTAAGCCAAGCTACTTAAGCCAGTCTGTGGTGGGGGAGTCAGTCAGAACAAGCCCAGTCAGCCCAAGCCTTACACCATCCAGCCTTGCCTGCCAAGCCAGCTTTCCACCCCTGCTGTGGTCATCGTTAGAAGTTATCAAGGCATTCTGTGTGAAGGGTTAAGCCAAGCCAGCCAGCAACTAACCCAGTGCTCTAGCAAGCCACGTGGGTACAGTCTTTTTCATTGCTTTGTGCTTCAAGTTCTAGCCATTCTGAGTGCTTTATCATCCCTGTGGTGTTGTGATATTTTGTGGGTTTGTTTTTAAGCCAGCCCGGCTTAGAATATCTTTGTGCCTAGTGCGAGTGTTCCCCAGTGTGGCTTACGCCGTTCATCCCATAGGCCCAGTCACCACGCGGTGTCTCACCACCGCCCTGCCTCAACCCCCCACCTCACTCACTACCACTGTTTTGTACCCTTATCACGGGTTCTAGCACCATATTTTTAAGGACCACATAGGGGGTCAAGAGTCAAAGTGTTTCTTCGTCAGTATTATTATTATAATCAAAAAGAATTCTTCGTCAGTAGCGCCATCGTAAAAAGCCTGTGTGGGTCCAGCGTCGATTTAAGCGCAAATTCCTCAATCACGTGTGGAGTAGCAACGAACGCAGTCAGCCATGAGACGACATAACCATCCTCCACCATCTACCTCATTCTTCACCAACGTCGCTAGTGATAATATTTTTCATAGAGACATTTGCGAGTGTTGAGACATTTCTGTGTTTCCAGTGATTTCTTAGTGACATTCAGTAACTCTTCGTTAGACTCAGTGTTTATTATATACTGTTTGCAATATTTTTTTTCTCTTCTTAATTCAGTGTTAATTTTTGTGCATTATTTTATGTGTTGTGTTGCTTCTTTTTATATACTTGAAGTAAGTACGTTAGTGTTTTTCCTTGTTGTGTGCAATATATAAGCAGTATAAACTTGTGTTTACATTTCACAATTACCTTGTGTTCACAGTATTGCAGTGAAGTAATTCAGTAATTTATTACCTTATATTCTGCATCACAACTCAAGTGTTGTCCGTTATATTTTTCTCCCAGCATTTGTGTATTCTTGCTGTTTTGTTTGCATTCATTTGCCATTTTATTTTATTTTTGTGTGTGTGTTGAACATTCTTGTGTTAATTCTTTTCATTTAACCTGTCTAATTTGTCTTATTTCCACAGACAATAGTGCCATTATTTTGTTCAAGCCAGACAATTATTTTTCAAATTTTTCATACCTCAAGTTTCATTGCAAGAAAATTCTAGTATTGTGTTTATATTGATGTGTTGTGTTCTGCATCACTAAGTGTTCAAACCTTTTGTTCTGTGTTTTGCATCTATTATTTTTTGTTTCATTGAACAAATTCACTCTTAGTGCAATTTTTAAGTTCTTCTTTTAAAGTAAATCATTCTTTTGCTTGTTCAGTAAGTGTTGCTTAAGCTGCAATTAAGTGTTAGTGTTCACTCAGTTCATTCCTTGGTAATATTTTTTTTCTTGTAAACTGTATTTTCTTGTGTGTGTAATTTTTTTTTATTATTGCACATTGATTCATTTTACAATAATTCTTGTGTAAACATTGTGTTGCCATTAAAATTTTTCTTTCAGAAATTTTTATGTAGTATTGTGCAGTACTTTTGATTAGCAATTGTTATTTGCAATATTGTTACAGTTTATTTCAGTGCAGTTTCATATGCTCTTTTCTGTGCATAATATTTTATTCTTTGTGTGCCATTTTATTTTTAGTGAATTGTTTTCCCAGTTTTTAATTTTGCACAAGATTTATTGAGTCCATTTTAACATTTTTGATTGATTTATCAATTATTGTTGAATTTCCTTATTGCATTGAGAGTAAAGACAACTCACTGTGCCATTAATTCAATTTAAAGTAAATTTGAGTAAATTAGATTTGAGTAAAGTACCATTTCTCTTGATTTTCAAAGTGTTGCTTATTCAGTTGAGTACTTTCTTTTGTGAGTGTGAGTTCTCCTTGCTTACAGTGTGACTTACTTTTTTTTAAGTAAATAATTTCTTCCCATTTAAGCTTATTGTGTCATTCTCTCTATTTTTCTTGCCTTTATGTCCTTGAGTAAGTTCCCTGAGAAGATGCCCAGTCACCTATGAATGTTCACTTAGTGTATCATGCCAGTCAAAGTCAATATGAATCAGTCCACAGTACCAGTATTCCCTTACTGACAAAGACAATACCTAGCCCTTGAGCAATGTGTTTGTTCTCACAACTTGTATCCGAGATTTGTTAAAGTGCTGCGAAATGTGAAGTTCAGATAAAGTTCCTATAGATTCGTTCATTACTTATTAACGTAGCCGAGCGGCCAGGCACTAGTAATACTGTCACTCCTGTCTGGACTCCAGCCATAATATCATGCACACAGGATAATGTACAGTTACCTTGGGTTTCAGAGGAACCTCAGACAACCCTGGGTGCTGAGATTACTATCCTTGTGATGGCGACTTGTTCAAGTATTCGTTCCTTCCCAGGGGACGCTTTGAGAAGAACTTTACTTGCAACGAGTTATGCCATCTCTTGCTGATGCCACAAGCCGTTGCAGAAAGACGTTTCTGTGGCTAGTGTACTCACTTGAGTGTTGTTGTTGTCCCTTGTGTTCCAGATGGTGATGCCATCCTCGTTGACAGTAATTCGTGCAATGTAAAAAGTTGTTTCTCGAGTAACTTTCACACGTTGTCAACGATTGTAAGTGAAGTTTCTTTCTAGTTGATACCTCGTGTCACTGTGTGCGACTCAGAGTGAATATCAATATTGTTGACCGTGTTCATTTCTTTTCCCCTGTGCTTGCAGTGAGAGATAGTAGATTCGTTCTCCCTTGCTCATATTGCGTGTTATAGCGTTATTTTTTTCAACCGGGAAGAGTCATCCACTCCACCGAGTTTGTTCATTCCTCCAGTAAGAAAGAACCGATCCCTTGTGTTCTGGTGTGATTCGATTCCTGCTCCAGGAAGATCTTATTCTGACTGTGAAGCCACCAGCACCCATTAGTGACTTTGTAATGAGCCAAGAATTACTGTATCGAACAGTCGAGTTGAGTACTAGCAGAAGAGTTAGTAATTCCACAGTCACTAGTGAATGTAGCTGTATCTTTTGTAGATACTCGTTCAGACTGTCCTCAGTCAAGGCATGTGTTAGCCATAGCAGAAGAATTCGATCCGCCCAAAGACGATAACCATTCTGCGTACGTAAACCTTACCCTCGCAGAATTGGGTTTAAATGTAAACAGCCTGTATAATTAGATGTCCGAGATGAATGAAATTATCAACTGTGTGTTTTATTAGCTGATCAGTTTGTCAGAAATTTTTGTGTTCACGTTCCCTCCGAATTCTGAGAATTTAGCAATACTGATCTGCGTGCACCAGATTTTGCTGTTAATTATTTGCACTTTGTAAATATATATTTATTCTTCCTCAGAATCCGTAGAGTGCATGAATACAGATCGATCGATCAATTCCATCCTATATTTTACCATGACTTGTTCTTATAATTTGTAATGCATTACGTTAAAACTCATTACATTAACACCCATTATGTTAAAACTCACGATGTTAACATCCATTATGATACCATCCATTAGTTCTAAGTTACATATGTCTTTGTTATTGTATAGAATCAGCCCAGAACCACCTGCCTGTTCAGCCTATGGCATAGTAATGTCGAGACGACATACATAACATGACCGAGCTGTCAGCATAGTTGCTGATCCCCTTACATGTGTTGTATAGCCTAGCTGAGTATCATAGTACCATCCATGTGTTTATATAGAAGATCCCTAGGCCTAGTGACTGTATGACGTCACGGGATGCAGCATGGTTAGTGGGACGTGCTACCTCGCCCTCACTCCACGCTTAGACATACAACAGGCAAGCAGGCAGGCCGGACCCCTTCCCTTACCACAATCTGACAATATAGTGTTACCATCCACAAGTGTGTTTATCTTCAGCCATCACATCTCCTTTCGAACCCCCACGGCATGTTTATTACTATTGTTCTATAATATACATACACATAGTCACTGGACACTTTCATATAACTGCTATTATCTTCAATCTTGTGTTGTGTGTGAGTGCGTGTCTCTCTCCAGCAGCTGTCAAAATGACATATTGTATCAAAACAATGGGGTCGGATGCTTGCTTCCCCTCCATCCTCCTAATTATCTTTCTCCTTCATTCTCTCTCTCATTCTTCGTTCTCCTTCATTTTTCTGGTATCCTGGGCAATGCTTTTGGTCACAAACTCCTCAAAACCATAAAACTATCTTCACCGACACTTTCATGTGTTAGAGCATCACTTGGGAAGAGAAGAGTCCCAGATTTGCTGGGGAGTCAGATATTTCTTACCGCTAGGCATGATGAATAAGGACTACTGAAATGGCAAAAGAGTGATGGAGTGAATGATTATGAAAGTTTTTTCTTTTTCGGGCCACCCTGCCCTGGTGGGAATCGGACAATGTGTTAATAAAAATAAAAAGGTGGCGGCAGCGGCAGCAGCAGCAGTAGTAGTAGTTCAAATACGTAGTGCTCCAAAAGTAGATCTATGTTTTTTACACATTTTCAAATGTAAAACAAAAAAAATGACGATGTACATTTTTTTTACATACTTGTACTATATGTACAAAACTAAAGCAGGAGGAATCTATAAAGGCTATAGTGCCAGCAAAGGGCATTACAGTAATTTCTAAGCAGTGGACCTCTGTCAATGAAAAGATGGGAAAGCTGCTGTTGACATGGTTGATGGAGAAATAGCTCACAGGAGATACGTAGTGTAGTGAGATAACATAAAAATTGTACATAGCAGTTCTTAAGAAAAGTGTGAACTCCTGACAGGATATGCTGCTCTATTTTTTCTCTAAGGTATGTAAATGTCGTATGTACACCAGATTAATTCAGTTAGCCTCACAAACTCCGTTTTCTCTTAAAACACCTCTTGACGTTTTCATAGCGAGAATGTGTGACCACTCCCGACCATAATCCTCCTCTCTCTGCCGTCCGTGTAATGGCATATTTTATTCATTCTAGAGTGTATATCAGGTTTCTATGTTATTTATATTCTTATGTCATATTAGATGAATTGTGACAGATAAATAAGCCACAGAGTTGTCATGCCTCCTGAGAGCAGGAATTCAGCTGGAACAAATTATTTGCATTTCAATTAATTTAAATGAGGAAAATTGACCCAGCATACGAACAAATCAGGATACGAACAAGTCCATGGAACGGATTAAATTCGTAACCCAAGGTTCCACTGTATAGCGTTTATTATATAATTTTGAAAAAATATCATAGATAGATTAATGAAAATGTGTATATTAACGTAATACATGACAGCTAATGAGACTGTAATTATCATTACTAATATGGCGTCTCGAGACATAAGACACTCTTACTGATTTTAATGTGTACCTGCATGCCAGCACAGTGTGTAAGTTTATTTAGGTACAGGTATACGTAAGTATAATTATCAGAGTACTGTATATATATAAAATATGAAATAACTTTTGTCCTCCTTACCCTCTCTGCCAATCCCTAGGCACCTTCCCCTCTTTCATACATTTAGTAAACAAATATACCAACCACCCCAACACTATATCCCTTCCCCCCGACTTTTAACATTTCTGTCATGATCCCATCAGTTCCGGCTGCTTTACCCCCTTTCATTCTACGCAATGCCTCACACAACTCACCAACACTCACATCCTGCTCTTCTTCACTCCTAAAAATGTTATACCTTACTGGCCAGTGCATGAAATTACCGCCTCCCTTTCTTCGACACTTAAAAGTTCCTCAAAGTATTCCTACCATTTACCCAATACATCCAGCTCCCCATCTACTAACTCCCCTACTCTGTGTGCCAGTCAATGTTTGTCACTGCCGCTGTGAAGTTATTAATGGCTGCCTCATTGTGAAGTCTGAAAGTGACTTTAGTAGTGTCTTGGGGTAATTTGCCAAGATTTGTGATGAGAAAGGTAGGGTAGTGATCTGTGGTATTATCTGTGATTATGCCTGATTTTAAAGGGGATATGGTGTTGGTCCAGATGTGGTCTAGTAGGGAAACACTAGTCTCTGTAACTCTTGTAGGTTTTGTTACTGTTGGTAGCAACATGCAGTTACTCATAGTGTTTGTGAATTCAGTAATGTGTGGGTCCTGGTCTTGCAGGAGATTTATATTGAAGTCACCTGAGAGTAGTAAGTGATCTTTGTTCATGCGTGCATCAGTTATCATACTTCCTAGGTTTTCACTAAAATGGCTAATGTTTGACTGTGGTACTCTGTAGATGTTTATCACTGTGAGAGGTTTTTGTAGGTATTTGGATTTGAATTTAGCTATTATATATTCCCCATATTCATCCCTTGTGCAAGTATTAGTGATACATTCTAGTTGGTCTGAGTAGTATATAGCTGTGCCACCCCCTTGTTGATCTGGCCTACAGTTGTGTATGGCTGTGTAACCAAGAATGGCACAGACATCTGTAGTACCAGGCTTTAGCCAGGTTTCGGTGAGAGTAATGATGGATATACCGGCATGCAGGGAATTTAGTAATGCTATGAGGTCATCGTAATGTTTAATCTGATATTGTAGGTAAAGACAGTTATGTTGTTGTTGGCTCTGAGAAGTGCCTTTTATTGTTCTGCTGTGTAGTAATTACAGTTACTGTTTGATTCATTTAAGTCATTCAATAAGAGGTTGGTATCAGGATCAATGCTTGTTATAATAAGATTTATAGTGAATCTATAGTTAGAATTAAGTGTAAGACAAAGTAATTATTCTAAAGCTATAAAATAGCACCCGAGTTATTTTAACAAATGTAAAAAGTTGGGCTAAGGTAGTTCTTTAAAGCTAAAATAAAGGTGACAATATAAAAGAGACTAAAAAAAAAATTTGTGAACAAATAAAGTGGTAATCAAATAAATGAGCTAAGGAATATTATGGTAAAATAGTGAACTTATTACACTTTAGCACCTGAGAATAGCATCTTGATTACTTTTTAACAATTGTGAATATATGAACTAAGGTTGTTATGTAAAGCTATATTAAAGCTAAAATAAAGGAGAAAATATATAGGGACTAAATTAAATAATGGTAAACAAAGTTAAATTGGCAGATAGTAACTAAGATATTGCCCTTAGACAGGACATCTCCACTGCCTCCAACCGCCTCCTTGCTGCTGCATTCACAACCCAAGCTTCACACCCACATAAGAGTGTTGGTACCACTATACTTTCATACATTCCCTTCTTTGCCTCCATAGACAACGTTTTTTGTCTCCACATATACCTCAACGCACCACTCACCTTTTTTCCTTCATCAATTCTATGATTAACCTCATCCTTCATAAATGCATCCGCCAACACGTCAACTCCCAAGTATCTGAAAACGTTCACTTCTTCCATACTTCTCCTCCCAAATTTGATATCCAATTTTTCTTTATCTAAATCATTTGATACCCTCATCACCTTACTCTTTTCTATGTTCACTTTCAACTTTCTACCTTTACACACACTCCCAAACTCATCCACCAACCTTTGCAATTTTTCTTTAGAATCTCCCATAAGCACAGTATCATCAGCAATAAGCAACTGTGTCAATTCCCATTTTGTATTTGATTCCCCATAATTTAATCCCACCCCTCTCCCGAACACCCTAACATTTACATCTTTTACAACCTCATCTATAAATATATTAAACAACCATGGTAACATTACACATCCCTGTCTAAGACCTACCTTTACCGGGAAGTAGTCTCCCTCTCTTCTACACACCCTAACCTGAGCCTATCCTCACTATCCTCCTATATTCACAAAAAAAAATGTGCTGCACCATTTAATGGCTTACAAGCCTGGCCCTAGTAGTATAGGGTATGATATACAGTACCAACCTGCAACCCATAGATTAATACTACTCAGGTACAATATAGTACCTATTTACTGGTAAGTAAAGAAAGGAAGTTGTGTTAAGGAGACTTCCTATATACTTAGCCTTGTTTTCCTCATTTTATTTGTCTTTGAACAATTCACAGCTGCAATTTTGAATATATTTATGAAATTACCTGACATTTTTATAAACTTCATTGCTCTAACATTTTTAAGTACTAAAATAATATTTTACAATACTGTTCCTCAAGAAATATTTTCAAAGAAAAATTTAATACTGTATTATCTTATACAAATAACCTTGCAAATACCTGCCAAACTTACTGATCCTTTTAATGTAAACTTATCCTCAGGCTCTATAAGAACCTTAAGATATGTAGCTATATGATTTTATACAAGATTACAAAGTAAAAGCATAATGCCAATATATCATGAGACACTAATTTGTACAATGTTTCACCCATGGGTGCACTTGGAAATGCCCAACCATAGAAAAAAATGTACCAATAATGTACTTTACTGCAATTATTGTAACACTGTATATATATAAATTAACTTGCGGCCACGGATTTAAGGCAGGTGCATTAACTGAGCAAATTATTGCACTAGGGTAGGTGATCTTAAAGTTCAGTTTTCAGATATTTAAAAAATTACCCTCTCATTGATTGGGTAAACAGTAAAATAACTGCAGTTTCTAAATCATGTGTAAACAAGCACAATGGGGCCTGCACATTTAAAATCAGTCCTGGTTTATACTGCACGAAGATTGATTCATTATTCAAAATAGTGTAAAATGAAAATGTTTAAATTATAAGTTTTATCCTCTGCTTGCGATACAATCTTACACATTCTTAACACCTCCATCAATACAATATTTACACAAGTGCTAAACCAGTAAATCACAGTGCTATGTGGCAGAATAGTAACATCAGTTTTGCTAAAGTCACTGGATTAGCAATTTTCTGAGATGGCAGTCACAATAAGGGCACCAGGGGATGGTTTAGAAAAATGTCAGATATAAGCATGAGTTGACAATTATAATAAAAAAGAAGCACTAAACCAACAAGGGTAATACAGCGCAGCAGGGCAGGGAAGGATGCGGGGCATATTGGGTTCCAAGAGGGAGATGGATTATTATTAAGTCATGTAGTGTAGTGGGGCAGTAGATAGTAGTAGAGGGTAGCAAGAGGGAGAGGTAAAAAGGGCTGTGAGTAGTGCTAGAGGCATGCAACAGATAACAAGAGGTACATGTATGTATGTATATACAGTGGACCCTCAACCAACAGCATTAAACTGTTCCAGAGAGCTAGCCGTTAGTCAAATTAATTTTCCCCATAAGAAATAATGGAAATCCAATTAATTTGTGTCAGTCAAAAGTATTAACAAAAAATATTTTTTTTTAACCCTTTGAGGGTTTTGGTCGTACTAGTACGTCTTACGCGTAGGGGTTTTTGTCGTACTAGTACGCATAAATTCTAGCGGCCTCAAATCTCACAGGAAAAGGCTGATAAGCCTAGATGTGAGAGAATGGGTCTGTGTGGTGGGTGTGCGCAGTAGGAAAAAAATCTGGGACCCAGTGGTGCATTGTGGGAATGCCATCATAGTACAAAATTTCCACGTGCCCTGTGGTAAGAAGTTCCTCACTCCTCGGCGAATTGGGACACTTTTGTTCCCCAGTGACAGTTCTAATACAGATGGAAGTGACAGTGAAGATGAGTTTCAAGGTTCTGGTGAGGTTTTGACCTAAACTAATGACCATAATATGGGTAATAGTGAGGAAAACCCAGACAACCCACAGCCTTCCACCTCTGGTGCTGGGCCATCTTGTTCACGTTCAGTTGTACCAGAATCAAAGAGGAAACTCCTATTTTCCAAAATCCCAGACTCAGATGTGAGCATTGGTGATGATAGTGATAGTGATTATGAGCTACAAGCTCTTCAAACTTGTTCCAAGAATGGAGGAGGAGGAGGAGGCAGAGGAGGAGGAGGCAAGAGGAGGAGGAGGCAAGAGGAGGAGGAGGCAGAGGAGGAGGAGGAGGAGGAGGAAGAAGAAGAGGAGGAGGAGGAAGAAGAAGAGGAGGAGGAGGAGGAGGAGGAAGAAGAAGAGGAGGAGGAGGAGGAGGAGGAAGAAGAGGAAGAGGAAGAAGAGGAGGAGGAGGAGGAAGAAGAAGAGGAGGAGGAGGAAGAAGAAGAATACGTAATGATAACAATAATACATAATAATAATAATACATAATAATAATAATACATAATAATAATACATAATAATAATAATAGGTAATAATAAATGTTCACCCATGACAGTAACAAGATAAGGGGAGATAACATCTGATAAGTGCTGACCTTTGATGAGGGTAAATGAGGGTAGAGCTGATGCCAAAAGATGAGATAAACATCTCCCTCCCTTTGTTTTTGCTGGTATACTAACATTTCTGTCTGTCTATTTGCCTGTCTGTCAAGCTCCCTGTCTATCCGTCTAGCTCTCTGTCTCAGAGAGCCACAAGACTGTGTCATCACTTTTACTCACATCTTCAAGCAGAGTATAGCACTTTGTCTGGGTTTCTTGGGTTATCCTAGGTAATTTATACTCTGTATACTTGTATTTATGTGTACCTGTGAGACAGAGATAAAAAGACAGATAGAATGAGGGAGAAAGATAATTAGATAGAATGGAGGAAGGGAAGCAGCATCCGACCCCATTGTTTTGACAGGCGGGAGGGGGGAGTGAGTAATGAGACAATGTCATTTTGACAGCTGCCGACTCCTGGTAATTTACACTATGGAGGAGAAGGAGAAGGAGGAAGAGTAGGGGGAAGAGGAAGAAGAGGAGGAGGAAGAAGAGGAGGAAGAGGAAGAGTAGGAGGAAGAGGAATAGGAAGAGGAGGAGGAAGAGGAATATTAGGAGGAAGAGGAGGAAGAGGAAGAAGAGGAGGAGGAGGAAGAGTAGGAGGAAGAGGAAGAAGAGGAGGAGGAAGAGGAAGAGTAGGAGGAAGAGGAAGAGGAACAGTATGAGGAAGAGTAGGGGGAAGAGGAGGAAGAGGAAGAAGAGGAGGAGGGTGGAACACTAGTACACTGGTACTGGTACACTAACATTTCTGTCTGTATTTGTCTGTCTGTCAAGCTCCCTGTCTATCTGTCTATCCGTCTAGCTCTCTGTCTCAGAGAGCCACAAGACTGTGTCATCACTTTTACTCACATCTTCAAGCAGAGTATAGCACTTTGTCTGGATTTCTTGGGTTATCCTAGGTAATTTATACTATGTATACTTGTATTTATGTGTACCTGTGAGACAGAGATAGACAGACATAGAAAGAGAGAGACAGATTGAAAGAGATAGAATGAGGGAGAAAGATAAAACACCATTGTGTATGACACCATGTTTCAGAGTTCCACAAGCTGCAGAACTAATAGGAATATGTTCAGTGACTGTATATTGGTATATATATTATAGAACAATAATAATAAACAATGTTTTGTATTGTTTGTTTTTGTAAACAAGTTTTGTAAACAATATATTGATAATTATGTTTGTGTGCTTATTGTGTTGTATACAACGAGTGTATATACGTACATTGCACCTTACTTTGGTCTCATAGGCCACATAAGTTATGTGAAAAAATAAAATAGTGAAATTATTATTATTATTATAATCAAGGGGGAAGGGCTAAACCCGGAGGATTATACAGCGCCTTGGGGGGGGGATGTGGAAGGCATTCAGGCTTAATTCGGGGAACTGGAGCACAGATCCAATTCCCTAAATCAAGAGCCCCTCACCAACATCAAGGAACCTTCCTTGAGGGGTAAAATAGTGAAAAAAACAACAAACCTTCAAATACAAGTAAACTAAAGTTTACCGGGTGAGCGGCAGTCGCCGCTGTTGCCATACGCGGCTCATTTTCTGCAAACTTCATGCATCCATATCTCCGTAAGTATTGATGGTAAATTTTTTTTTGTTTATCCTATAATGTTTAGAAAAAAAAACTCTATTTTTTCATAAGAAAAAATAATTTTTTTTTTTTGAAATTTGGCCGACCCTGAGAACGAGTTTCGGAGAGGGCCTGTCGACCCTCAAAGGGTTAAAGATTAAATATAAATATACAAACAGAAAACAATGACAAATAAATATAAAGCACTAATAAAATGGATAAATGAACATTTAACATCACACTTATCTTTATTGATTTATCTTTACTGACTCGACTTGTTGGTGTATGACAGACATGTAGGAGGCAAGTTTATTATGCTTCAATATGATGCTATCATCATCTCTACGGCTTATTTATCTATCACTATTCATCTAATATGACATTATAAACAATATTAATAACACAGAAATATATATACTCTAGAATGAATAAAATTTGCCATAATGTAAAAGAGGAGTAAATGGTTTAAGTGTTATTGTTGGGTTTAAGGGCTGCCACTGAGAGAAGCCATGTTGGTGGCAGTGGAGGATTTTGCCAGCACTACCATCACACTTGTTGATGTATGTAATTTATAAATAAGAAATATTTACATTTTAATTTATTAATAAGTAAGTTTATTCAAAGTATTCACAAATACAGTTACATAGATTATTATACATAGCATGTGTATAGTACCTAGGATAACCCAAAAAAGTCAGTGACTTATGTATTTCCATTGGGGTCCTTTTATATTTACCCTTAATACAGTGGAACCTCTACTTGCGAGCGCATCCACGTGCGAGTTTTTCCATTATTATTATTATAATCAAGGGGGAAGCGCTAAACCCGGAGGATTATACAGCGCCTGGGGGAGGATGTGGAAGGCATTCAGGCTTAATTTGGGGAACTGGAGCACAGATCCAATTCCCTAAATCAAGAGCCCCTCACCAACATCAAGGAACCTTCCTTGAGGGGTCGAGTTTTTCCAAATATGAGCAGTCGATGGGTTGATTTTTTGCTTTCACACGCAAGCAAAATTTCCATATGTGAGCAGACCTCAAGGGAGGTTCCTTGACACTGATGAGGGGCTCTTGCTCTTGATCTAGGGAATTGTATCTCATTTGTATGTTGGACTATCTTATTGAAACTTGGGCAATGTATGATGTAAAGATGCTTCTTAATGTACACCAAAAATGAAAGAAATCAGAGCATAAATAATGGAGTTCACTTCTCAGCAATTAGCCACCCCTTAGTGGTATTTTTGTATGGTTTTCATGGTTGTAAGTGATTATTATTGTGTTATTATCATTATTAATATGGAATCTTCAAGACCAATTACACTCTTAATGAGTGGCTCTGAGACAG